TCAGTGACAAAGAGAAGGATTGTAACAGACACCATTAGTAGTAAGATTCAAAGCATGCGTGTCCATTATGGTGTCAAAGAAGAGCATAATGTCACTTCTTTGGTTTTCTAGCCAAACAAATAACTTTAGTGTGATCATGAAAAAACATCATATAAACCCAATGAAGAGATGTACAAAATTGTTGTGACTGGGGTGAACTATCAACTTGATCGCTTTGGAATCAACACCAAGGAATGGAGAAGCATATTTCTGGGTATGTCTGGGTGAGTCACAGAGGTATGATCGTTAGTACTATATGTGGTCTGTGGTCCTTTCCTCTGTGTCACTGTTTCCCTGTTCTACTTCCTGGCCATCAAGAACTCAGCAACTCTGCTCTGCCATGCCTTTTCACCACAGTATTCCTGTCTTGGAGCCAGCTGACCATAGATTGAATCCCCTGAAACCATGAGCCAGATTAAACTTCTCTTAAATTATGAATATCAGGTACTGTGTATTGTTAACAGGAAAGCTGACTAATACAGTTGTCAAGGTCATGAAAAATAAAGATGAAAGAGTTGTCACAAATAGCAAGAGGCTGAGGTGATAACAAGTAAATGCAATATGGTGTACTGGATTAGATCCTGGAACAGGAAGAAGATGCTTAGGGAGAAAACTGGTAAAATTCAAATGGGATCTATAAATAACTAGTACTATTGCAGCAGTACTGTAGCTGGTTTTGATAAGTGTAGTCTGGTTAAAATATCAACCCTAGGGAAGCCCGCTGTAGAGTTTGTTATGAACTCTACTATTCTAGCAACTTTTATAAAAATCTTTAAATTATTTCAAAAACAAAAATTTGAAAGGAGTGCCAGATTTGGACATTATACTTGGGTATATATAATTATTATTTATGATCTTCTAAAGTAATGACAGGTTAAATTTGAATCTTTTTATTTTTAATTTTTTATGAAATCAGTAACAAATCTTACGATACAGAACTTAAGATGAAAAGTAGCAGTCCCTTGTCTATCCCTTTATTCTTTTCCCACTCTAGAGTTCCTCTTTTGAATATACTTGTATTTTTAGTTCTTCTGATTACACTGACATTCATTATAATATATTTAAGCATCGGTTCTTAATTTTCAACTTTGGTTAGCCATCTGTTAAATTTTGGGAATGGGAAAATATGATTTAGCTCACATGATACTTCTTTTCAATCCTTTCTCATCCTAGCATTCCAGATAGATAAATTTCGTTCTTTTGGTTATTTTAGAAACTTTTTAAGTCCTAGTGCCTGCTGGCTTACCTACCTGCTCTCCCACTCCCACGCTTTTTTTTTTTTGTTTGTTTGTTTTTTTTTTTTTGGTGCTGGGCGTTGAACCCGGGGCCTCTGAGACGCTAAGCAAAAACTCTTCTACCAAGCTACACCCTCAGCCCTGTCTATTTTTATGCCATGAACTTTTAGCATCTGAAAGCTTTCTTTTCTCATCATGAGGCTGTAAACTTCCTTTTTTACCTCCTTGCCTGACTTAATTTAATAATTCTGTTTTTTGGAAACACTTTCAGCTATACTTTCACCCCTAGTTGTCAGAATGGCTGACAGTTTGGTCCTATTGTTCACTGAAAATCACTCTATACTTTTCTGTGTTGATTCTAAAAGTTGTGTACCAGTGACCTAGCGTATGTATTATGGAGACTTCATGAGTGATAACCAGGCCAGATAGCATGCTGGGGTTGTGTTGGTGCTGTGTCAGTCTGAAGGGAATGTTTCCAACATCAGAATTAGATAGAATATCTTTTCTTAGACTCTGTCCATTGCTAAAATTTAATCTTATAAATTGAATTTCCTGAATATTTGGGACATGTACTTTTTCTTAAGAGTTTCCAGTGGTTTTTTTTTTTTTTTTTTTTTTTTTTTTTTTTTTTTTTTTTTGGCAGGATTGGGGCTTGCATTTTTGGCCTTAAAAAATATACATTTGTGACAACCTTGAAATCATATAGTCTTTTGTCCTAAGTGTCTTTCTCTTGGGAATCTTGGAGTCCTCCACTCTTCTCTTGCACTCTGGTACCATATACACCCGTCTGATCATCTCTTTGTTGGTTTCAGGAGTTGGGTTTGCTGTTTCCTGAAGGCTGTTGAGCATACAGACCATTGGCTTTCCAGCCAGACTGCCTGGGATCCAGCCACAGCTCACTCTGCCTCTGCTAAGCTTCTGCCTCTAGTGCCTTTTCTCCTTATTTTTGGTGCTTTTTTTTAATCCAGGCTAATAAGTCAGTCTCAAAGCTAATCTCTGTACCTCTTTCTCTCTTCTCCTCTCGCCTTCTCTCTCTTTTTGACTCTGCTTTTCAAAGAGAATGAATGAAACATTTGTTCTAAGTTAGTAGCAGTTATTCTGACACTTAATCACTAAATATTTCAGTATGTGTCTTCTAAGAATCGAATCATGATTCTCGTAACTACTCCATCATACCCAAGAAATTTAATGATGTTGCATTATCTCTTACATGGTCAGTTTTCTGTATTATCCCAGCAGAAAGAGCTTTACAACTTTTATGTCTCTTCAGGATCTGGTAAAGGATCACAGATTGTATTTGGCTGTTAGATTCCCCAAGTTTTTTTCCCATCACATTGACTTTCTTGTAGAGTCCAAGGCACTTACATTATAAAGTCCCATACTGTAGATTTTCTGATTTCTTACGATTTCCTTATGATTAGATTCAAGTTACTTTTATCATGGTTATTTTTGCATGGGTACTATATATATTTATTTATTTTGGTATTCCATACTGCTTCATACCATGAGGAAAAAATAATATCCCCGGAGTTGGTGGAACTGGGTTTAAGCGTTTGAATAAGTTGTTTGATTTTCTGTACACTAAAGATTCAGTTCTCCTTTGTTAGCAAAAAGTAATCTGTGGTTTAATCTTTTGAGACCATGTGATTATTCTGTTTCCCAATAATCTTTCACCTAATAGTTTTACCATCTGTGGATGAGCTGAAACATTTATTACATTAGTATTGCAAAATTGTGATTTTCCTAATGCTATCGCTTTTCTCTGAATTTATTAACTGGGGTTCTTCTGTAAAGAATAACTTTTCTCTTTTATCCCAAGATTTATTTTTACTATTCATATAGACTCATGGATTTTTTTTTACCAGCCTCATTGAGATATAATTTATGTACTACATATAATTAAAAGTGACAGTTTACTGGATTTTAGTGTGTTCACAGATACATGCTACCCATCACTATAGTTATGGATTCTTTTTTATTCAGTAATTATATCTATTACCACACTGTTACTCTTTTTGATACTTAAGTTGTCCTAAATTTGGTCAGTGGGCACGTTGTCAGTCCCACTTCTCTGTCTTTTGACATTTGTTCCGTTTTTCTTTGAAAACCAGCTTTGAGTGGCTGACAGGCTTTTTTTTTTTTTTTTTTGTAGTACCAGGTATCAAACTCATGACCTTGCATTTGCCAAGCGGGTGCTTATGCCACTAAGCTAGATCCCCAGGGCCCCTGAAAGGTTGTTCTAGCTGTGCCTGGAATCTCACTGGCAGATCCTGTAATGAGCTACCTCCCCTAGGAAACCTGCATTTCTTGTAGTGGGAATACTATTTAGAAATCAAGAAGTGAGCCTGTATGATTGTATCTAGGGTCTTTTAGCAGGATGGAAAAAATTTTAATACATATTTCTTCCTTCCTTGTATATATTTCAAGCAAGAAGAAATCATAATTGCTGTCTATTTTTAAAACTAACGTACCGTAACACTGATTCTTTTCTGTTTACAGTGCTATGAATTTTAACATATGCGTGTATTTCTATAACCACTAGAACAGTCAGGATATAGGGTGTTTCTGTCATCCTAAAACTCTCCTGTGCTGTCCCTTTATAGTTCTGCTTCTAACTACTAGCAACCATTGATCTGGTCCCTATTACAATATGGTTTTGTTTTGAGAATATCATTTAAGTGGTTTGTATAATTTATAGCCTTTTTAATTTTTAATTTTTTTGGTACTGGGATTTAACCCAGGGCTTCCTACATGCTAGATAGGTACTCTACTGCTAAACTACATTCTCAGACCTTTTTATTTTATTCTGAGATACAGTCTTGCTAAGTTGTCCAGACTGGCCTTGAATTTGTGTTTCTCTTGCCTTAGCCTCCTATGAAGCTGGGATTATAGGCAGGTCCCACCATACCTGATTTATTCTATAACCTTCTAAGTTGCTGTCTCACAGCATAATGCTTTTAAGATTCATTCCAGTCATTGTGTGCATCAATTATTTGTTCATTTTTATTGAGGAATGGTATTACATTGTTTGGGTGTACAGTGGAATACAAAAATAGGTGTTTATCTGTTCTCTCAGTGAAAGACATTTGAGTTTTTTCCAGTTATTATGAAAAGAATTGATATCAGTAGTTTTATTTAGGTTTTTGTGTGAGCACATATTTTTGTCTTTCTTGGACAGACACTCAGCAAAGGTCATATCCAAGAAATATGTTTGGTCATAAGACAAATATAAGTTTAATTTCATGGGAAACTGCCAGACTCATTTGTGGCCATACAGGTTGCCCTTTACACCAGTAGTGTATGGTCTGCATCCTTGTCAGCACTTGGTAGTGTTACGATTTTTATTTTAGCCATTCTAATAGATCCTGATGTCTCATAATGATTTTAAATTTAATTTCATTTTCCCAGTATCCGATGGTTTTGAACATCTGTTTATATGCTTATTCATCATCTTTATTTTTTTTTTGGTAAAGTATTCATGCAAGTCTTTTCTCTATTTTTTTTAAATTGAGTTTCCTACTGTGCAGTTTTAAAAGCTCTTAGAATGCTTTTTAGAATTTAGAATGCTAGTTTTGGTCAGTTATGTGATTTGTAGGTATCTCCCAGTAATCTGTAGCTTGTAATTTCGTTCTGTTAACAGTATTATTTTGCAAAATAAAAGTTTTGAATTTTTATAAAATTCAACTTTTTTTTTTATAAATTGTTCTTTGACTATAAGAATTTCACTCGCTTGTGCAGCATATATACTAAAATTGGAATGATACAGAGAGGATTAGTATGGCCCCTGTGCATGGATGACATGCAAATTCATGAAGTGTTCCATATTGAAAAAAGAAAAAACTTTGCATAACTCTGAGTCACTAGATTTTCTGCTTTGTTTTCTTCTAAAAGTATTATGTGCTTCTCTTTTACATCTATAACTTATTTTGAGTTGATTTTTAAGACTGGCATGTAGGTAGAAGTTTGTTTTTTGCATGCGAGTGTCCAGTTGTTCCAACAATTTTTTTTTTTTTTTGAAGTGTCTTTTCTCCATCACAATACTTTGTGTCTCTTTTTGGGGGCCACAAGGTCTTGCTGAGTTGCTGCATTGCTCAGTCTGGGCCGGAACCTGCAGTCTTCCTGCTTTAACCTCCCAGAGTGCTGGCCTACAGGTGTATAACAGCGTCCTTGCTATACACCAGACAGTATCTCTGTTTTCTTTTCTTGTTCAAGTATTTGCTTTCATACTTTTGAACAGATTATCTGTGTTGGAAGGTGATGTTTGAAAGATGACATTTCCTAAGGCATTTTCTTTTATTTCATTTTTAATTTATAGGATAGACTAAGAATTACCTCCAGTCTTTTTCTTTTTAACTCAGAGGAGTACTGAGTAAAAAGGTTCCAACAATTATGTGTCTTTACATTTTATCTTCCATTTCTAAATTTTTTTTTTTTTTGGTACCAGGGATCAAACTCATGACCTCTGAGAATGCTATTTTTTTATTACTTATTTTTTATTAGTACATATCTGCCATACCTAATGATCACATTCATCATAGGGAATTTGTATTCATACGTAATATGTCTTAATTCTTTTTTTCTACTCTCTTCTCCCTTCATCTCTTCCGTCCCTCCCTTTCCATTTTTTTCTTCTATTTTTTAGATCCTTTTGCCTTCCTTCCTTTCTCTCTCTGCCCTTTGTGATTCCTCTCCACATTTGAACAAGTTCTTCCTACTTCCCAATATCTATCCTCTGTTTTGCTCTTTATTTAGAATTATGCCTTGAGATGCATCCATTTACCTATAGAATGATTATTTTCTCTTGAGTTAATAATATACTGTTAATGGGTGTGTATCAGTGGATCAGTTCTCCGTCTAATTTTGATTCACATTATAGTGATTATTGACTGGGTATGATGGTACACACCTGTAATCCCAGCAGTCTGAGAGACTTAGGCAGAAAGTGTGAGCGCCCAAGCCCAACCCAGGCAATTTAGTAATTTAGTAAGATCCTGTTTCAAAATTGAAAATTCAAAAGAGGGCTGAGGAGATCTCTCAGTGTAAGGCACTATAATTTTCTTATAGTAACTGGGCCAGTAGGTTTTATTTTTTTAATTATTGTTGTCATACAGTAAAAATAATCTTCATAAAGAAGGAAAAGGTGCTATGTATTTTATTTTATCCATCCACAAACATCTTGGCTTTGAGTTTCCTTCTTCACAATGTCCAGTAATAAAAGACCTAAATCACTTTATATTAGAAACAATATGGAACCCAGATTATTTGACTATTAATCTCTTCCTCTTTTCTCCTCTCTTTTCCCACCTCCTTCCCCTCCTCTTCTTCTAAACTAATTCTAGACTTAAAGAATAAATGTAGAGTTGCATGCTGAGATGAAAATTATGTATTGTTGTATTGTATATTACTGTCATGTATTGTTGTCATGTAAATTATAGTAATGGATAATCATAATATAAACACTGAGTAAAATATTTTTAAAAATCCATTCAGTACCAGTAGTCTCCTCCCACCCCCCCAAATTATGATATTAGATAACTAATATACTGCTTAATATTTAATGACTTGTTTATTGCAGATTTGTAATTGATTATCACAGGTTATGAAAATCTTTGTGGCAAATGTGGGTATGGGACTCAGGTGTGTGAAAGTAAGGGTATATACTACAGTCTTGACTGGTAGGTGTGGATTTCTCTTAGAAGGTCTTAGATGAATTTATTCTCATTGCAACTAAAATGTTAAACATTTTATCAGAGACACCTCACTGATTCCTTGTATTGAGATAAAGTTAGATACAAGTTGAGTCTCAAAAATAATGACTGACTACAGAAAAATAGTTGTTCAATTAATCCCATGCAAATCAAAACCCCAAAATAATATACAACTCATTTCACAACTTAGTATTAAATACATATCACTTGTATTTTAAAGCTTTTTGAGGCATTGTTCAATATATGTGACTTTGTTAGCATGGCTTTTGCAGTTTCTCAAATATGCTAATATGTATGTTTCAAAAACTATTATTTATATTCCATTTCTTAAAATAAAGAATTGGAGTCATCAAAACTGGCAAGCGTTAAGCATGCTAATTAGTTCAACATACTGACCAATTCTCTGAATTGTTAGTTCAAAGAAGAGTGTGGACAGGGATGAAATTAGATTTAAGCATTTTTCACTCTAGTTGTTTTAGGATACCATGCTTGCTTTGATCTGTAAATAACAGATGTTTTTTCATGCATGGTTCAGGATTTTTCAAACATGTTTAAAATTTTGTCTCAGACTCATCATTCTTATCCTCAATTGGATATGCACACTTTTAACGACAGCTACTTTTTTAAGTTTGTTTGATAGTTCAAGCTAGCATGTTTGTGATTTTTCTTAATATGTATAGTATTAACTGTATTTTTAAAAATAAACTGGCATGACATAGTTATTAGGCAGTATGTAAAATTTCATTACTAGTTGCTAAGTATATATTGACTTAATTTAAATGTCAGTTTTAAGAATGAAACTAGAAAACTGAGAATGTATATTTTGTGTATATACATATTTTCAGGTTACATATGCATGCATAGCTGCATACAAAATTACTTGGTATATATGTATATGCGCAGTTATATGCTTTTAGATATTATGTGGTAAAAATTTTTGCTTTTAGATCTTATGTGGTTAAAAATTTTTGTCTTTGTTAGCTAAATATTTGTGTTTAATATCAATATTTAATAACTAGAATTAATGTCAAATGTGGACTGTACAGAAATACTGTTTTTACGTCTTTTTTGGGCTTTGTGTGAGAAAATTTCGGTATTCAAAATACTTTTGTAATGAATGGCATCAGATGAATGGTAGTTGGAATGAGAAGGTAGAAACAACAGGTTAAAAACCGAGATATGTCCCCTCACCCCATGGTACTGGAGCTTTACTATGTCCCTACTCACTCATCCCCATTTTAAAAAATTTTTTGAAATAAAATCTCAGAGTCGAAAGTCATGCTCCAATTTGGGATTCTGCTGTCTGAGCTTCCCAGAGTGCTGGAATTATATGCCACCCTACCTGGTTAAACTGAGAAATAATCTTGTGTCCCTATTTACCACAGTCCCTGATCAAAGGTTTTGGGTGATGTAGCCCCTGCTCCAGCTGACATCAGATGCAAGAAAGTCAGACAGTGTTCTAACTGTGTAAACTCTTATTTATTTATTTTGTTTTTTTGAGACAGGGTCTTGCTTTGTAGTCTAAGCTGGCCTTTAATTCACTGTGTATCTCAGGCTAGCCTTGAACTCCTGGCAGTTCTCTTGCCTCTGCTCCCAAATGCTGGAATTACAGATGCATCACCAACCCCAGCAACTCCCATTTAGAAGTAATATTACAAATAATAATATCTTGCATTAATTTTAGGAGTGAGATACTATTTTGTTTAGTAAAGTTACCTTTGTTGCTGTTGTTCATTAAAGTACATGAGGTTTTACAGTGCATTTCATTTGTGGCTTTCTTTATTAAAATGGTACTGTAGGGGCTGGGGATTTAGCTCAGTGGCATAAGCGCCTGCCTTTAAAGCAGGCAGTCGTGAGTTCGATCCCTGGTACCGATAAAAAGGAAAAAGACAAAAAAAAATGTACTGTAGCAGCAACCTCTTTCCTGTATAAGATATGCTGGAGTTCTAGTTGTAATTATGTGACTTACTGCCTTGTGCCTTCTGACATTGTTTAATCATTACTGTTGATGATTTCTTCATTTTAAAAGTGGTTGGTAAATTATGACCTCTGGGCCAAATGCAGACCACAGCCTGTTTTTGTAATAAAGCTTCATGGCGTGTAGCCCCACTTCTACATTTATGTGTCGTGTGCCTGCTGCTGTACTGCAGTGGCAGAGCTGAATAGTTGTGACAGAGATCAAATAGCTCACAGAGCCTAAACTATGTTCTGGCCTGTCATAGAAAAAATGTGCTGATTAAAGAAGTATCTAATATTTTAATGATTTTGTAATTGGCAACTCATGGAAAATTAGAGTATCAGTTCTTAAAACTTATACCCAGCAATCATGTAAAGCAAGTGAAAATACTGAATAGAAAATATTTAAAATAATACTGCATTAAATTGTTAAATTCTAAATCTGAATTTCAATAAAATTTTAAAACTGAAAAAAGAAAAAAATGTTCTAAATTTTGAAGTAGGTGATCTCTAAGACCCGTGTCCTGTCTACAGTGGATTTCCTTTGTGTCAACTTACCTTTAATTCTAAATTCAAAAATCTTTTATCAGCTTTGCCTCTTAACAAGAAAATGAAAATGTCCACTAGATTATTGGTTTTCAGAATATGATACCTGGAACTTGTTAGAAATGCAGATTCTGAGGCCCCTCGTTCTGTTCAGAAACTCTGAAGAGGGGCCCACAGTTAATTCTTTTTAGACTCTCCAAGTGATGCTGATGCATGGTGAAGTGTGAGTTCAGCGAGAGAGGCTCTTATGGGATAGGGGTGTAGTACAGTACCAGTGCCCTGGCCCAGCACACACAGACAGCCTGGCTTCTATCACAGCATTAAAAGAAATAAACTGTTGGGTATCATTGCAGAAACTTGTGAGGTTTATAGTTGGCCTTTTCTTCTCTGCTAAATACATCTGTCATAAACTGTGAGTTTAAGGAAATATATTAACAAACCCCTGAAAGTAACGTCTATGTTATCTTCAGTGGACAATTTTAACAGAAAAAAAATAATAATAAGTAAACAATGTGATTTATTTCTTCATGAGATTTTCTTTGCTTTGGTAGAACATGACTTGGAATTATCTTAAAACTAATGATTCAAAACAAACAATTTTCACAAGAAGATAATTACC